TAAAATTGAATTTCTTGTTAAATTAAATCCTTTTTTAATTATTTTTTAAATTGAATACCTATCTAATAAGAACACTTTTTATTTTGATGAAATACAAAAATTAGAATTAAAATTCATGAATTAGAGAATTAGAGGATATATTTGAAATACATTTAATTTTAACTTTGAAATACAAGGTTTCAAATATGTGTATTTAGACAAAATTTAAATACATTGCATTTAAGTAAAAACAAACAATATATTTAAATTTGAGGCTTCAAATTCAAATACACTCTAACCAAATTCAAGTTCACAAACAGGTCATTAAACATTTTGCATTACAATGGAGATGGCAGATATAGCCAGGTTGGAGCATATTGATCTGAATGCCTCCTAATGCATTAAGTTTGTGGCTTATGAGAGGAAAGGGCTAATAATTTGATAATGTACGGACAGGATATTAACAATTTTGAAACATTTTATTGGTAATTTTGACATGAATCAATCATGTTGGTAATTGCTTCCATTTGTTTTGTGTTGTTCAGTTTCAAGAGCTGGTTAGATAAGTACTGGTTGGATTTAGAAGAAGATCCTAGTACAAATACCACAACTGAAACCGCTAATGTGTTTTTTATTTTTTCATCGACTATTTTATGCTTTGCAAATAGTATCTTCCTGTCTTCTAATGTCAAATCTCCCCTATCCGACTATAAAAGGTGGTTAGTTAAGGCAATCGGTATTATGCTTCGAAGTCTCTATAAGTCCTATCATAATTCCAAAGATAGCTCAATGCCCTCTACAAATACCAAACGAATCAATGGTTTGATTTTGATGGTTGTAAATATTGCACATGGCATTTTCAAGTTTGCTCTTATTGCATCTCCTATGGCCAATTATAAAGATTGGTTATTTGCAATAATTAGTTATATCATTTTCTATTTTTGGTTACGAAGCTCTTTTCCCAAAGATATGTTTCCACCCATTACAAATACCAAAGGAATTAAAGATAAGATTTGGGCTATTCAAGTTGTTGCCAAATATGGTATTGTGGTGTTGGCTGGTTTCGAACCCCGAGTGTACTATAGAGAATGGCTAGTTGTGGTAACCTATTATGTGCTTTGGTGAGTTCAATTTCGTATGTCATTTCCCAAAGATCTATCACTATTGTTCAACACAATTGAATTTAAAGCCCAATGGTGGATAGTGATGGCATTAGTTAACATTGTTGCGGATCTCATATCTTGGATCAAACTGTCTAGAACAACATATCATCAACAACTACAAAGATGAAAATGTTAGACACCAACTTAAATCATAGTAAGTACTTAGTTACATGAAAATTTTTATATTCTTGTGTCATCTTCTTTTCAAGTATATGTTTGCAGCCAATGTCCTTATTAAAATCAACCAATCATCTGTAATTTTTTAATCATTTGTGTTTTGTTCATTTGAATTTGTTGTTGTTGGTTTTTTTTATATAGATATCAAAATGGCACACCTTTATCTTATTTTAATATAAGGAGAATGGTTGTTTTCCATCTAATTTGTACATGCTAATAAAATTGGATTCTGTACAACCTATAACTGGGATGAATTTAACTGACCATATAACTCAAGGTATTTGCCATATTGCCGCCCCGTATTGTTCAACTTCAAAAATGCAAAAGGTATTGAGAAGTCCCCCATCATTTTTTTTTTTTTACTTTGCCCAAAGCAAATACAAAAATCCCTTATTTTTTAATCCACTGAATTTCACAGTAGTCTAACAGAAAGCAAAATTGTCATGCCTACATGTAAAAACTGAACATGAATTGATAAACGTCACCCTGATGATTAAACAATTAAACATTTTTCCTACAAGATGGAATTATAGGATGGAAATCATGGAATTGAGTTACGAAAACTGGATTCCACATATTCCAATACATGGCAACAGCATAGCTTTGACAGAAATTCTATAAAAGGATCCAATGACATACTAAGTGAAGTTTCTAGCAGTTAAAGATCTAACGAAGCTGTAGAATTGTGAAAACTAGTGAAAATCTAACAAAACAACGTTCAGGGATAAAGTCCAAATGGACATGGGTGATTGAATGACAAAATAAACATAAAAAAGGGGAAAACAACAGTTACCGGTAAAGAAAACGGTGGAGAACATGCGTTGATCAAAGGGGCACGAAACGAGATCCCATATCTCATTAGGATGCGAAAACAAGCGCTCACATATGAGCTCCATTCGGTCGGAAGAGAGCCGAATCAAATGCACCTGCCAGATTCCAACACATTCAGTTCGAATTACCACATGCAGCACTCCGATTGAGAAACTGAAGTATAAATCAAGTAGAACCTCGTTTTCTTCTTTGAGGCTGAGAGTTCCGGGGATGAAGCCGGTGTGATCTGTGTCTGCCTTGACATCGGAAATGCATCTGGCCTGCAAGCACGAACTAGGATATTACGATCAATTCTGAGTTAGGAAGATTGAAAATTAGAGGAATTGTGTTCACCTGATACTTGAGACGGTAGCCGATGCCGAATGGTCCTCCCTGCATCGCCGCACCACCTGGAACCAGGATTCAAGGGAGCTAAACGAACAATATTCGAAGCTAACGGTCCTTAATGCATCGAATTTTTCCAAAGGGATCGAACTCGAGGATGGGTTCTGTTTTGTCCATTTGAAGCCCGACAGGCCCTATGCTTGTAAGGCCCAAACATTTGTAGAGCGGTCTGCCAGCCTCGACAATCGTCCTTTGTTTGGATGAGGGGTCAGCATTGGTACAAGTACATTTGTTTTTTTGTCAATATTTTATTTTTTAAATAAATATTATATTTACACCATAGAAAGAATAAGTAAATAATGGATACTATAATAATATATTTATAAATATTAAACTAAATAATAAATATAGGGATTTAGAATTATTTATCTAAATTTTTTAACCAACTTGTTTAACTTACTTTTTACTTATATAATTAAAATTTTATATGTACTTATTAGATTTAAGGAAAAAATGTATAACTCTCCAAAAAAAATTAGAGTTTTAATCATAGTTATCATTATCGTATTGTATCAATTGGTAAGGTCGATACGTATCGGTTTTTACATTAAATTGAAACGGTATATGATTTAATTTCATTTCAATTAAATTTGGTTCGTTTCGGTCAAATTTTAATGTATCGGCTGATATTTTGGCAAATCGGTTTGTACACGAAAATTGACCCGTACCACTTAATTCAAATTTAAAAAAGGTAAATTTCATTTTTGGTCCTCAACTTTAATGTTCTACATAATTTTCATCTTTTAACTTTTTTATATACTTTTTTAGTCCATCAACTATGAATAATGTATTTTTTTTAGTCCATATCAATTACTTCGTTAAATTTGTCTAAATATACACATTTTTAATCCCTTAACTTAAAGTGGATGAATGAAAATATACATATATTAGAAGTTGAGGAACTAAAAATGATTATTTTAAAATTGTTTTCAATTTATAGGCATATGATGGCTTTAAACATTAGTATCTTTTATTTTATTTTAAAATTTGATATTTAATTTATAAAACTGTATATTTATAACAACAAATCTGAAACGGTACGCGAAAAATTTCGACATCCGATACGTACCGTTCTAATAACAAAACTGATACGCATGTCAATACGGTATCGACAACTTTGGTTTTAACCTTAGATTACTTGTTTAACTTACTTATTACTTATATAATTAAACTTTTATATGTACTTATTATATTTAAGGAAAAAATGCATAACTCTCAAAAAAAAAAAAAAGAGTTTTAACTTTAAATTATGTTGTTCTACTTAATTAAAACTCAATTTAAAATTTAAAAATTTATCATATTAAATATTGATATTTAGATTTACAAACTAATTGAATTTTTGAATTTTAAATTGAGATTT